GACATGTACCGACGTTTCCTCGACTTGACTTAGAATATTTGAAAACACTCACAGGGTCATATCACATTCACTTAGCTGCCTCCTACATACAAGACACGATACAAAGAGATGGAGGGGAACAAAATACACTCGATATTGACGAACTCATTGAGGAACCCAATTTTTTAAGATTTCGAGTATTTTCTCGGTTCAGAAATGCCACTAAACATATGCTGTGGTTAGTATTCAGAGAAATCGATGATAATAATTTACAAGATCCGCCCATTTTAGGGTACTACTGTACTTGTAGGTCCGGTGCTAGAACATTAGGGACGTGTGCACACGTAGCCAGTGTGGTATGGTTCCTTGGATACGCAAGAAACCAAGGAAATATTACCTTTCCATCTGATCGCCTTTTGAATTGTATCGACGATGCTGCAAATCGATTGAATCCTGAAAATATGAACATCGGTCCGGAACTGATTTGAATCTGGCGATTAGTTGATTTCTGTGTTCCTTGTGAAACATAATTATAGTAGTAGTAGTAGTATATGTCCTTCGTTGGTAGGTATGTACATACCAACCAACCATCGATCCCTAATGAGGTCCTTTAGCCCATAGTGTTCTGAACATGTATCTATATTGTATGTAGGCACGCAACAGTGAATCGTGCAGGACTATCCCCAGCCGATGCTCCGAAACTTCACAATATTTAATTCGTATATTAATATTCGAAAAATTCCTTGCGCTGTCTGGGAATCGAACCCACGACCCCGCAGTCCTGACTCGGGTGCTCGTCCACTGCGCCAATCCTGCCTACACACAATCATATTATAGGTATTGGAACTTTCACTTTCTAACGTGGACTAGGCCTACAGGGGATACCACAATAAAAAAAACGCGCCTGAAACTCTACCTCTCAGGTGGTGGGGAAACGAGTTGGTTTGTCTATTTTTTCAAAATCTGTGATTGAAATTCTTAATTGACATTTTTCTTTCAGGCCTATACTGAACCCGGTAACGAATATCTACATAACCAAAACTCCAACTTTAGTGTCTTTGCGATGTGCATATACTAACTTCGATTCTAACAATATACAGTATGGTCAAAAGATTGGAGGTTGGTTGGATATAGGAGAGTTGCAAAATATATTAACGCGCACCTCTTACTAGGCGTTTGCGGAAGTTTAGTTTCATACTTTTTTCGAAAAGTAGTCATAGGATTGAGTTGGGAAAAACCGCTGTCGACTTCGAACGCTCATGAGTTTTAGCACGTTTATGAGTGGGATCGTTGATGAGTTGAAAGTTGATGAAAGGGGTGCGTAGAATAGTTGTGTCGTTGATGAGATTTTTTCGGGGGCATATTGTGATTTGTTTGATGTTTTCTGAAAAACATTTTCGAGATGTTTTGCTAGCGGACCTATAATAAGACCACTAGATTTTGTTTACGAACAAATCACATTTTTTGACATAGTTGACTAGTGACTACTAGTTTTGCGATTCGGAGCAATTTTTCGTGTTATTATGTAATTACTTTTCCATAATTATTTTCACATTATTCGATGTATAAAAAAAACTAGTCATAGCATGGGTCTGAAAATTCCCAATTTGATTGAAATATCCATACTGAGTATATTGGTGGAAAAAAATCTTACATCGACGGTAATAATTTCGAATTAGAGGGTGATGAAAAAAATAGTGGTTTTTGAATATTTTTTCGTGGTTGTCAATTTTTTCAATCGATGAATCACTCTGTATATCATGGAACTCATTGGGATACATCCTTCAAAAATATTTTGAATGTCTGGAATCAACCCGATAATACGAGGTGGCCCAATGAACTTTAGGATAGACCAATTATGCAATCAACAGCATTAATGAAACACCATGTATAATTATTATATTTTACGAATTCAATTGATGTAAGAAGAGCATACTTGGCTATAAATCTCATTTTGTAATTGTTATCAATTTGTAGCATTGATATTCAGATATTCAAAAAAACACATTATTTGAAATGAGAATCACCCTGTAATAAAAATCAGTTTTGGTCGAATACCTATATAGTTCTTGCGCCTAAGGGCATAACTATTACGTGCTCCCGAAAAATTGGAATTCATTTGTCCTATCTTAGAGATATAGGCCGAGAAAAATTAGGTATTCTTCAACTTCAACACCCTGTATCTCGTAAACTAGTCATAGGATTGAGTTGGGACTTGGCATATTCAATCAGTATGTCGAGTACTATCATTTACCAAAAATTGGGGAAATTCGACGAAACGCCATTTTTATATAGAAAAAGTGCGGGGTCCTTTGAATAGTTAGTAGATTGGGCGTCCTGATTCCAAATCTGAAGTGATATTCGATCTATTTTGACTCCTAATATCATTTTCCGGAAATTGGGGTAGTATCGTCATGGCTGTTGGCGAGCAGTGTTTATCACTGAAGATGACCCCACTTGGTCATATAGAGTGCATTTTTGGTATATCTCTCGCTCCAGCAAATTTCAGGATCCTTACCCAACGATTACGTAAGATATAGGGGTGGTTCCATTAGAAGTGGGTCACACTGTATGTGGATTGTGGATATCAAATTTTTGATGGTTCAAAAGTTATTGACCTTTTCTGTAAAACGCGACCCGTTTGAAAAAAAAATAATAGAAGGCTGTTTTGAATAGTCCCATATGTTATATCATTTCGGATCTTCATTAAATGGGCAACTTCTTGTTATGATTGGTTATCTTTGTGGGGTAGTTTTTAAATCTGCCAGCGGCATTTGAAAATCAACTGAAATATTTCATTCAATGACAATATAGAACTCGAGGAAAACAACATGTTTCGTAGGTAATTGATACAAAGTAAAAAAGGTCATGAAATTATTTCTGGGAAAAGGTTCATCCATGCGGATGAAATTCTTGAAAGATAAAATCACAAATGTGAAAAAAATTTGTAACTCTTGTATAATTTGTAACATCAATAATTGGATAACATTAATTCGGTTAGTTTGATCGGAATAAATGACCCCCCTTACCATCAAACGTCATTTGATCCATGACTTATGGGACACCCTGTATATGTACATTCTCTATCTGATGAAAATATCAATTCTTATTCAACAAAAAACAACTACTTTTCTGGCTATATGCCACGACGAACATTGAATTATAGCAATTCAACATAAATGATGAGAAAAAACAGGAGGGGTGAAAGAACTTACAGTCACAACTCCACCACATAAAAATTTTAATAATGACCAACGGTCATGGACATAAAAAGGACATGTTTCGAAGGATTAATCCTTCATCATCAGCAAATGTGTTAAAAAGAGAATCTGTAAGAAGAAACAATGCTTATGTTAGTCATAAGTGTTGATTATGGAATCTAAATGTACCTATATACCATTATTGGTGGAACAAGTTTAATGCTAAGTAACCATTTTTTAAGCTCAATAATAAGAGCTTATAGATAATTGAAATTTTTGACAAAGTTCACTTATCAAAGTAAACCAACATGTGGAACTGAAATTCGTTGAATTAGGTTAACTAATCACAAATGACAAATGACAAATGATGACAAGGACGCTGAGGACAAAACACAATATTAGAATAACAACCGTCAAGTCAAAACCATATACGTATTAATAAACAATACGGATCATAACGGGTGCCAGGATGAAGCCAAAAATATGAAACAAATGAATATCCATAAGGATTTGGTGGCATGATACGCATGCGCCATGCGCTATTATAGTAGTCATCAAAGACATGCGTTTCGGTGTACAATGACGTTTACTAGCCTTTCAATCAAAGCAGTATGTGTCTGATCGTTTCAAAACTTTTCCTTATGGATAGTCATTTTTCTTCAAAAATCGGCTTCATGTTTCGCTATGGAAACAGATAGAGATTATCCGTATTGATTATTAATACGTATATGGTCAAAACTAAGGAATGTTTTGATTCGAAGTGACATAGAACACAGAAACCAGAATTGTAGTTAAAATGACAGGGAGTTGAATAATTCAAGGCTATCGAATTGAGTTTGTTCATTGAGAATTTGAAAACAAAATCTTCTGAAGTTGAGAATGGGCAAGTGGACTTATAAATGAATTATTTGCATCCAACTACTACATCTCACTTCGTTTATGTGAATAATGAGTGTATGCGTTGTTCAAAATTGTTGAATTTCGTAGCTCATTTCGAACGTACCGCCATGGCCACTATTTGGCGATACGTCGAATAAATGGTGACGTCAGGTTTTTTTGCTGTTTCGTTATTGGTCAGATAATCTTTCATTCCCACTCATGAAGCATGGTTGCCAAGTCACCAATTATAATCATGCTATATCAAAAAGATGTAAGAGTCATGTCGTTGAATAAAACATAATGGGAGGAACCCATGATATAATAGTTCATTCTTGACCCTTTCGAGCAACCAGCATGTCCAAATATGTATAATACCTCATAATAAAATTTCATTTAAATGTTGGAGACCTGGCAACATATTGTGCTGAATGCTGAGAGGGGACAAGACCACGCCCACAAGCCGTGCAGGCGGTGTTGTCACGTTCCACCGCTTCAAATTTCCTCTAGTGTGAATTGATACAGTGTGTCCCACTTACCATGCTCATGTTTGTATTGCTAAATAGGAATGTTACCAATACATAATTGAGAATTTATCAATGTTTGGATAACTAATATTTCTGAAGTTTCCAATCGTATTTCAACACATAGCAACTGTGATAATGGTCTACCCCTACTTACGAAATCGTGACATCAGTTTTTACTCGCGGAAAATTTCTATGCGTCAGAAAATTACCGTGGCATTATTGATGGTTTTAGCACCTGAAAATCGACCGAAAAATTCAAAAAAATATTAAATCAAAGGTATTTGAGTGATGATTCTATTAGAACTATGAAAAAAAAAATATTCCACTCGCCTATTTGCATTCTCCTTCAGATAAAAATATGTATATGCATATAATATCATTCTGAATATTCAACAGAAAACAACTATTTTCCTACCTACTCGCCTCGTCGAACATTGAAAGATTTGCTTGTTGCAATTCTGTAAAAAAAACATTGAATATATATTTAAAGTAGAAATTCCTCTTTATTATTATTTTACATCCCCATTTATCTATCGCCATAATCATCCTAATACGTATCTAACAATTTTTCTGCGTATTTTTCGATGATGACGCTCCATTGCTTGTATTTTTTCGGATCTTCTAAAATTACAAGACTAGAATTTATATCTAAATATGAGAATCGGTCTTCAGTCACGGTTGGCCATGCCACACCTTCAGTCAGTTCATTTTCCTCTGCAGTGGGATTCCTGTAAATGGGAAACACTTAATATTTCTGCAACCAATTATCAAAGTAGGAAGCCTTTTACACACTCGAAGCTCAACACAAAATTTAAATTTTTCATAGACATAAGGTAATGCGAGGTTGGCTATGAAGGTGTCATATATCAAATGTCATTTGAGAATAAAATCAGTGCCTATGTCAAAATAATTGTGTTTAAAAAAAAACAACTTTTTGGGTCCTTTCGTATAATTCAAATTAATTATAGTTATTGACATCGGCGAAAGACACTATGTTCAACACTCAATTCAACAGCAGTACCTAACTGTTGCCAAGATATAGCATACAACCTAACCTAACCCAACCTTTACCACCAAACTATAATAGTGATATATCATCTTGAATGCATCAATTTTTGCGATAAAATATATATAATTTCTTCATTTTTTGGAACGCACGAAAGGAAATTCCTATAATTAATTATGTGGAGGTTATGAGCAGTTCTTGAGAATACTTCCGCATTCGCATGGAATTCCAAAGCCAGTGCTTTGTAATTCAAAAAGCTGATACTGTCATGTCCTATATGAAGACGAGTATACATACATTAGCTTTGATGACCTCCGCCTGGAGCCCTGCCTCAATATACAGGGTGTTTCATAATTGAATGTCAATATTCGAGGAGGCGATTCTTGGGCTCATTCTAAGAAGAAAGTTTCATATGAACGTATGACCTAAACGTCCCAACTTTGGAGATACAGGGTGGTAAAATTCTCGAAAATTAATATAGCCTACTACAATGAGAAGTTATAATTCGAAAATACCAAATACGAATACAAAGTTCATGAACTATGAATTGTATTTCTGAAATTTGATCTTAAAAATAAAAACTATTTCTCTGCATTGTGATATTATCATATTAACAATATTACTATAATCATGTAGTGAAAAGCTTTTTATTTTTAAGCGAAAACCGTGCATCAGATTGAAAAAATTGTAGTGATCAAATTTGCTTAGAAATGATCGGGAATTTTAGGAATGATTTCAATTTGGAGATTAATCAGTGGCGTACCATCAATGTCTGCCAAAATAGGTATGTGAAATTCCATACGAACGCCACTGGTGGCAACAACAAAAAATGTGGTACGCTAACTGATGCCTCTTGATACATATAGTACATGTATGCCAAATTTCATCAGAATATCTGAAGTGGTATTACAGATATTAATAAAAAACTATTAATTTTTGAGAACTTCACCACCCTGTATCTCAAAAGTTAGGATGTTTAGGTCATACGTTCATATGAAACTTTCTTCTTAGAATGGGCCCAAGAATTGCGTCCCCAAATATTGACATTCAATTATGAAACACCCTGTATAATATGAAGATAGGCAGTGCGATTATATTATAATTCCAACGCTTCGCCGCTCTATAGACAAACGAGTTTTGGTAGAGTGTTTCTTCAAGCAGGTTAACGACGAAAGGATGTGCTGACTGGGCCTGTCAAGTTCGTCTGACTGGTATTGCTCGTGATGGAAGTATAGCAGATAGTTCTGAGGAACATTTGCCGTGGAAATATCTATAGAAAAGTGAATGGTCGCCGATTTTTCTCCAGTGATCTGATGGGGTCAAAGAGTTGGTGAGTGTGGCATCACCCACTAGGTGAATGGCTCTTCTCTGGATGGAATCTAAGAGCATCAGCGTATTTTTGGGTGCCGAACCCCATATGTGAGAACAATATTCTAAAACTGGCCGTATGTCGTGCTTTGTTGATCATGATCGAGAAGCTGTGAGTGTAAAGTAGCTTTGGAAATACCGAGCATAGATATAGTGGGCATGTTAGGAAAGGTGGTACCAGACATAGTTATATCAGGCATACTGTGTTCCGCCGATCTAGAGAAAACGCAGGATTTAATTTTGGTGGCGTTGCTGTCATTCCATCACTAAAATACCAGTCAGAGGAACTCGACAAGCCCAGTCAGCACATCCTTTTGTTGCCAATCTTGAGATATGTCGCACAACAATTTACCAACACTTGTTCACCTGTAGAACGGCAAAGCGTTGAAAATCTTTGGAAATTGAATAATTTCCAAAAACTATAACCTCGAAATGTTCGAAAAAAAATCCAACACCTAACGATACCTCCTTTCCCTATATCTTCCCTAGGTACTCACGATGTTCTTCGAACATTATAGGAATTTCCATACGCGCGCTCTAGGAAATGAAAAAAAAAAAATAACTTGCAGAGAATTGGTGTTAGTTCTTGTGCACAGTTTTTGATGACCGTTAACCTTATTCATTTCGAGGTCGGCTCATATGACCTCGAAAATCAGCCAATTGAATTGAATTCCTGTTAATATCACTCTGATCACCAGCTGACACTAAGAAATACCTACCTACCTATCAAAATACCATAAATACTTACATATTCTTAACGAATTGTGACCACATATACACCATACGATTATGAGTGAGAATGTCGTCCTCAGGAAATTCACTGATATCTGCGTTCTGCGAATCTCTGAACAAATATCTCAGTTCTTCTTCGTGGCCCACTCCTTCAGCACCTAAATGAATGACAAAAAATATGATGTTATACAGGGTGCTTTCAAATTGTAATAAAGCTACTATATGAATAGGTTTCTATCATTCATTAGAAAATCGAATCAATCCTAAGCTGGTTAAAATTACATCGCTCAGTATATTTCACAGTTCATCGAAATCAAGAGCCGAACCGAAATAATATTTTTTCTACTACTGCTATGAACAGTAGCGCATTTCTCATAGCTATAACTTAGTTTCAAAACCATAATATTGCTCATACTGTGAGAAATATTTTTTCTCATACATTTCCATGGAGAATCAACAAGAATCGACCAAAACTTGGCTGCTGGTTCAGCTTTGAATAGTTGTCACAACTGTCAGAAGAATTTTTTAAATTCTTTAGGGTAGTTCTCATTAGTGCTTCTGATAGAAATCGCATTTCCCATAAAATATTATTCCAACAATCCATGATAAATAATATGATGTACCTATATACCGAGATGTGACGATTTTGATAAATACACCGCCAGAGACAGAGATAATGGAAGAAGCTGCGAAAGTTGGATTTGTTTCAGTAAATTTCAAGAAAAAAGTATGAATTGGCATAATCGAGAAATTTATGGAATAACCAGCGAACTGCAATATATTTCGTTGAACCCTACTTCTCCATAGTATCCTTGTTTTCAATGACCCAAAATCACGAATCCGCCATTATAACATTCGATGAACTTGATTACGCATGCGCATGATTACGACAAACTGTGCTACGACGATGGCCGATAGGGGTAGCGTAGCGATGGCATAGTACGAAACGAAGACACACGAAGCCACGGAGCACGGATTGACCAATCATAAGCATCTGTATGTCTTGACGTGGCGCGCCAATATAAAACATGTAAAATATAACCATATTTGTATACATTTAATGAATTCTTGATTCTTTCTTATCTGTTTCCAAGTTATTTCTATCAGGGTGTTTTTTATTAATATTTGTTCTACATATTTCACCACTTAGGTTTATCCATGTCGGGAATACGTGAATCCTTTACTAAGGTAGGTACCTATTTTATTTTGATAAGCGTTTAATCATGAGTCCTGGATATGCAGTGCATGGAGTAATTTATTCGAAATAAAACAACATGATTGGTGCAGATGTTACGTCTAAATGTCGTCAAATGACGTCTAGTAGATACGTTTTTGAAACACGTCAAAATCACGTCATTTATTGGTCGAATCTTGACGACGACCAATTGCCACCTATTTTTCACGTCGATTCGACGAGAATTGACGTCACCCTGCTGGCTGGGTAGTTCCTCAAAGTATTTCAAAAAGTACACTTTCCGAAAAAGATTTCATTTCTGTATTTTTTTTTGATTCCATGAATTTTTCGTTTATGCCAATTCATCCTTTTTTCTTGAAATTTCCGAAAACAAATCCAACTTCCGCAGCTTCTCCCATTATCTCTGTCTCTGGCGGTGTATTTATCATCGAAAGCACTAATGAGAACTACCTACCCTAAAGAATTCAAAAAAGTTCTTTTGACAGTTCTGAGAACTATTCAAAGCTGAACAGCAGCCAAGTTTTAATAGATTTTTGTCGATTCTCCATGGAAATGCGTATGTGGGGTTGGCAAAGTACCGTGAGAAAAAAATATTACCCACAGTATGAGCAATACATGGTTTTGAAACTAAGTTAACTATGAGAAATGCGCTACTCTTCATAGCAGTAGTAGAAAAAAAATGTGTCGAGAATGTAGGCCATAGTGGAATGGTTCCACTTTACACCCTGTGTAAGTTTTGTTTTGCGGACTTTACCAGAGTGTTCTAGCTCTTTTTGAAGCCGATGGAACATCACATCTGATATCGAAAACCGCATGAATATCGGTCAATTATGAGTCGTCCATTTAGTGTGTTGATAACTGTAGATGGATACGAACCTTGGTAGGTAGAGTTGAGCTGTCCGAGTGGTCCTTTGTGAGAAAATTGGTAGAAGAAGACATCCGTGAATTTCGATTGGAGATAGGCATGCCTTGCTACAGGTGTGGCAAATAACGCGTCACTAGCAAACTGAAATTTGAGAAACGGATTGATTTATTGTTTTTTTCTGTAACGGGAAAAAAGTTTGGCACTTCATCTCTGTTGGCAGGTTATGGAATGTAACTTTTCATTAATTACTTTTTTTCCGTGGGAAAAAAGTGAGTATTTTTTTCCCGTATATATATCACATATTATATATACACTGTTGATGGCTTATGTTGTGCTATGGTTCCAAAAAATGAGTCAATATTTGATATTACCGTCTCCGAGAAAGAACTGCAAGTCCTTTTATCTTCCATTCGACTTCGCGTTTTCTTATATTACTAACTAATTAACCACTAAATTCGCAATTTTTTGAAATTAAATCACAGAATCACACTGACAGAACTTACATCAGATATTTGATTACTCCAAAAGAATGATTAAGATGCCTACAACGCAGGTGTTCCTACTGTTAAAAACTTGAAATTTCACGTTGATAATTTTCAGATTTCAAAATAATGTGATATCTTCTCAATATCGATTCGTCTTTTCTTCTGTCACAGAATAAATGGCAAAGTGAACACACTGTTGAGTCGGACTTTTCTAATTTTAAGCAACTGCACTTGAAAGATGTAGCGCAAATTATAAATAAATTAGAAAACAAGTCAGGTGCTGAAATTGTAGATGTGAAATTTCTAAAAAGTACTTTTGGAGTAATAGGGCATGTTCTGTTGCATTTCATCAATATTTCCCTTGAATATGGTCAGTTTCCTAATCAGCTGAAAACTAGTATAGTCGTACCGGTACGTAAGATCAAGAACACTCAAAAAGCTAGTGAATTTCGTCCAGTCAACACATTACCTGGTATGGAGAAATTATTAGAAATGGCTGTATATAATCAACTCTTGAACTATGTTGAAACCAATAAGCTGATAATAGATAATCAATCTGGATTTCGACAAAACCACTCGTGTGAAACGGCTATACAATTAACTGTCACTAAATGGATACAATCTATTGACAAGGGAGAATATGTTGTTACAGTATTCCTAGATTTAAGGAGAGCATTCGAAACTATTGATCGTGACATTTTGATTAGAAAGTTAGAAGCCATTGGTATTAAAGGAACAGTATTGCGTTGGTTTAGAGATTATTTAACTGGAAGAAAACAAATAACGAGAATCGAGAATGCCTTCTCTAATCCTATAGACACAAAATTTGGGGTACCTCAGGGTAGTGTATTGGGGCCCTTACTCTTTTTAATATATATCAACGACATTGGCGTAGCACTCGATTGTGACCTGATCAACTTATTCGCTGATGATACCTTGTTATCAATAGCACATAAAAATTTGAATGTTGCTATAAGTAAAATGAACTCATGCTTGGAACATTTACATGAGTACTTCAATATGAATAAATTGAAATTGAATATCTCGAAGACTAAAGCTATGGTTCTGACAACAGGCTATAGATATAGACAATTAAATCTCAATTCTGTTTCGCTGAACATTAACAACGAAAAATTAGATTTCATAACAGAGTTTAAATACCTTGGTTTCATGTTAGATAACAACCTTACCTTTGGTGCACATTTCAATTATATGTCGAAAAAAATAGCAAAAAAACTTTACTTCTTCACTCGAATATCTACTCATCTGTCTACCGCTGCTAAGATCACCATTTATAATACCATAATACAACCACATTTTGATTATTGTAGCACTCTACTTTATGGTTGTGACCAGAATAAAATTATGGCATTACAAAAACTGCAGAACCGAGGCATGAGGGTGATTCTTAGATGTAATCGTTCTAGTAGTATCTCTTCCATGCTTGATACACTGAGTTGGTTATCGATAAAAGATAGACTTTACCGAACATCAATGATATTTATTTTTAAGATTATTAATAATATTCTACCAACCTACTTTAAGGAATTTATAATTTATCGGAATAGTACACATGAATATGAAACAAGACAAAATGATAATTTCCACTTGCCAAGATGTAACTTATCGAACTCAATGAAAATATTATTGTATAAAGGTTTGAATCAATATAATAAGTTACCACAAGAAATGAAAAGTGTCACAAATCTCCGTCAGTTTAAATCAAAACTAACTGCCTTTATCAAATCAAATGTCATAAGATAGAATAGATAATTAATCATGTAGATTGATATTATTATTGTATTATTACCTGAATCATTGTCTCTGTAATTTTAATATTGTGAATATTAGGATGTATACCTATATTGAAATAAATTCATTCATTCATTCATTCATTCATTCATTCATTCATTCATTCATTCATAAATAGTGTATTATACACGGGAAAAATATTAGATTTTAGCTCACACTACCTGGAGCTAAAATCTACAACTTTTTTCCCTTGTATAATAAATAACTATTTTTCTTCTCAATACGTGTGGAATTCATTTATACAACGATATACCAAGTGATCTATGTGAGAGTGTAAAAAAAGTTTGTCACAAGCGCAGACACTGCGTTTAAGCAGCCCGCGGCTAGTAGCTAGAGACTGCTGAAGCGTGTGACACAACTGTTTGTCGCCTACCATGAGAACAAATGAAAACAAAAAAAAACGGGAAATACAACAAAAGTCTTTAATTTCATAATAATCGTTCTCCTGATTCCAGATTCATACTGGCGTTTAATGGATATTTATGTGAACAATTAAAATACGCATCACGCAAGTGACAGTCATAGGTGTTTAGATAGTGAAAAACTGCAAAATCGTGTTATGAGTTTAGCAGTATAAGGGACGATATATACAGTGTGGCCCACTTGAAAGCGGGACACCTCAATAAAATTTGTATTAATATTAATCCACCGATTTCGACGAACTTTTTTTTTAATCGTAGAGTTCGAAAAACTGTACTTTAGGACTAAACATATTTATATTTCTACAAAATCCATGGTGTACTGCGTTTATTTTTAGAGGATAAAAATCAAGAAATCGTATTAGCGATTTTTTTACGAGAAATTTGAAATCACCATTGAATTCAGCACACCCTCAAAGGTTGTATACCAAATTTCATGAAAAAATTAAAAGTGAAATAAATAAAAAGTAATCATCATGTGGCATATGAGAAAAATGAATGAACAGTGCAATGCATTTATCATATCTTCTTCTTATATTCAATATAACTTTTTTCAGTTCTGGCGTGATTTCTGCACAAGCTGCAGTTATTCTGATACGAAGTTCTTCTACTGACTGCGGCCTAGACTCATGAACTTTTTGTTCCACAATACCCCAAAGAGAAAAATCCAGTGGTGTCAGGTCCGGGGATCTTGGCGGCCAGTGAATGAAAGGACTATTCCGGTCAATAATTATCATTCAGCCATTCTCTCACCAAAGCTGCGTAATGTACAGGAGAGCCATATAGTTGATATTTCAAATTCAGGCGATCATGTGCTGGTAAATTATGTATTGCTTCCCAGAACTCATTGCTTTGAAAAGCCAAAAATATATTTCCATTCAGATTACCTTCAAAGAAAAAAGAGCGGATAATCTTATCATGGAGAATTCCACACCACGCATTTATTTTATAAGAATACTGCCTTTTTACATTGATAACCCAATTAGAGGATTATCTGTAGACCAGTACCTTGAATATTGGGACGACACAACTCCGTTTGTACTGAACGTTGCTTCGTCCTGAACAAAATTTCGCTCAAGAAGTTATTATCATTCAGATATTCTCCCTGAGCCCAAAAATAGAATTCTTATCTTCGTTCTTCATCTCCCGGTTCCAGAGTATGCCAAACTTTTGGCTTGAATGATTTGATTTTATTCCCTACAAGGCATCTCCTGACATTTTCTCTAGAAATATGCAAGCCTAGACTAGCCGTTCGCAAGCTTGAATGAGGATTATTCCGAAAATATCGCAATACTCGCGCATCATTCCTATACTCCAGACGTGGATTATTTCTGTTTTTGAGCATATGCCTCAACACTACCTGATTAATTGAAAACAGCATTAATACGATTAACAGTACTGCTACTCACTGGAAGTTTATCAGGATGCCTGGCAGCTTCTCTTGCTGAAAGAGCATTATCTCCGACAAGACGCACAAGTTCAATTTTATCTCTTACACTTAGTTCTCCCATAATAATTATAATTAATCACTGATTTTTACAAAATATTCCTCTAAATAATCGGGCAAAATCTGACGCTACTAATACAACACACATCGTCTTTTGTTTCTCGCGCACAGTCAGGAGCACGCGATTTCGCATATTCGCGCGGCTATTCTCTCACCAAGATTTCATAACCAAAGGGGGGTATGCAGTGAATACCTGCATGATATTGCATTGATATCGAATATTTTTTCATGAAATTTGGTATACAACCATTTGAGGGGGTACTGAACCCAATAGTGATATTGAATTTTTCGTAAAAAAATCACTGATACGATTTCTGATTTTTATCCTCTAAAAATAAACGCAGTAGGCCTTGAATTTTGTAGAAATATAATTATGTTTCGTCCTAAAGTACAGTTTCTCGAACTCTACAATTCAAAAAAAAGTTTGTCGAAATCGGTGGATTAATACAAATTTTATTGAGGTGTCCCGCTTTCATCTGATAGCACACAACGTCCTAGGGACGTCCCTATTTGGTACAATTCACGTCCGAATGTCCCGAACAAAAAATAAGTGTCCTTGGGACGTCCCATCCCGTACATCTCATGCAATGTCCGAGCAAGAACGTCCATGGAATGTCCCAGCTGGTATATATCATTTCAAATGTCCTAGAAATAGCATCCCTTAGTCGTCCCACGTGGTACATATTGTAGAATGTCCATGCAAGGACGTCCTTAGCATGTCCCTGATGGGATATTATTTTAAACGTTCCTTTAGGGACATCCATCGGATGTCCCGAGTAGTACATATTCTGGCATGATTTCATATCTTATATAATGCCCCTTCTAGACAACGATGAAATGTCCCTGATGGTACATTCCTCCAAATATCTCTGCACAGACGCCCGTAATATTTCCAGGATCGTATAACAATCGAAATGTCCCTTAGGGACATCCTTCGAATGTCCCTTGGGGATATCCGTCGGATTTCCCAATTGGTACAAGAGCTGAACTCTTCCAGTGTCCTAGAAATAACGTCCTATGGACGTACCAGTCGGTACTTTCAATATGTTGTCCCTGCGAGGACGTTAACTTACACCTCGCCGACGAATGATTGCTCGTAGGCTATAAGTACTCCTCGTCAATGTCCTCCACGTGAGTCCATTTTTTGTGAAACTCAAGATGGCCTAATCAGATTTTGCATAACTACTTCCGTTTATAAGATACAGGGCGATTTTTAGAATTCATACTTTTACTCTATATCTACCAAGTTTCTTAGCGAAAATCTCGAATAAAAATCTTTTCCCATGAAGAATTTTACGGAGAATCCAGTGGCGCATTCAATTTTTTTGTTCAGAGTACGGTTCTACAGATTAGACTCAAACTCAGCTCATTAAATCCCTAATTCTTTTCCTTCAAAATAATATAAATGATGTATAGACAAAACATTTTCAAAAATGCTCAAAAATGCTAAAACATCGAATTTTGATAGTGGGCTATGTTTTCTTCTTATAAAAAAGTGAAGGAATATTTCTATCGATTATTCCATGAAGAGGACAAAAACAATATCAATACTAATTAACTAATGAAACACAAAAGTAAGGTACCTGAAAGCAGCAAATGAATAGTAATAAAAAGTTCATAATGTAGAATAGGCACCTGATTGAATATTTAAAAATTACACTCAAGTAGTCATCAGGTAGGGTGGCCAGGTAGCCGTGCGGACAGAGTGTCCATATTCTAATCCGCATTCGCTTGCCGGTCGTGGGTTCGAGTCCCGTCGACTGCAGAAATTTTTCTGATGGCCCAAGAAAGTGTTTGGGATCACACGTTAAAAGGTAAGGCCCCCGTCATTCCTTGCTCGCACAAGACTCTCGAAGACTTCTGAGGGTTGCTCGTAAGGGGGCAACCGAATGACGGATAGAACAATTTTAGAACAATTTTAGTGCCATCTGTCAGCAGAATGATTGACTTGTAGTACCACTCTGTAGCGTATAGACGTAGGGGTCTGTACGTGTGACTATAGATGGCAGCGCCATACAGTGTATGTTGCGATATCTCTGTATCCTACCTCAGAGCTTTCCACAAGATGGCTACAACATGACTACAACTTTATGTTATACCCTGCGTCTCCGAAATGGGTGATATACCCGAAGCGTAGAGTTGTCCCAGTTGTCAGCAGACCGAGAGCGGCTGATGAGACCTGGTGGGTCGAAACAGTACTGTCTCGCTCCTGCTGACAATTGGGGCAACTCTGTTCATCCTAGATCTCTTAGTTATGAGATTTAGCAGTTGAATAGGTGGTAGAAAAATTCCGCTCAAGTAGTCAGGTAGTGCCATCTGTCAGCAGAGTGATTGACTTGTAGTAGCACTTTGTAGCGTATAGACGTAGGGGTCTGTACGTGTGACTATAGATGGCAGCGCCATACAGTGTATGTCGCGATATCTCTGTATCCTACCTCAGAGCTTTGCCACAAGATGGCTACAACATGACTACAACTTCATGTTATACCCTGCGTTTACTAAAACGATTGAATTTCGAAATTATTCTACTACTTATTCATCGAATTGTTCAAATTGTCCATTTTCCCTAACACACAATTGTCACACTTTCTCAAGACACCTTAATACAGTAAGAGGCACAACAATCTTGAAGGAATTCGTGCAACAACTAACTCAGTTTTCCAGAAGTTACAAAGACATATTTTAATGATTTTGAAAGCATGAGAAGCACTGAGAAAGTGTGTGAGGGAAAATGGACATCAATTTGAACAATTCAATGAATGAATTACTCCATAATTTCGGAATTCAATTGGTTCAGTGAATATTTAATTAGATGCTCATTCTCTATTATGAACTTATTATTACTATTTATTCGTTGCTATCAGGTGACTAAGTTTTGTGTTTTTTGGCTATTTAGTGTTGGTATCGTTTTTGTCCATTTCATGGAAAAATCAAAGAAAACATTCCTTCAATTGGAACTTTTTTATATGAAAAATCCTTCCGGTCCGTTTAAAATTCAATGTTTTAGTGATTTTGGAGCATTCTTGAGATTAACATTATACATCCGGTCGAAGGGGAAAAAATAAGGAATTCAATGAGCTGGTAAAATACAGAGTGATCCATTTAAAAACTCATCAGATTGAGTCGTATCTCCAAAACCATACCCAGAAAAAATATGGGTGCGCCACTGAATTCTGTGTGCAATTCTCTAAGGGATAAGATTTTGATTTGACATATTCACTGAAAAACTTCGCAGATATAGAGGGGGTCCAAAAAGTATGAATTTTCAAAATCGCCCTGTATCTCAAAAAGAGAAACAGTTATGCAAAATCTGATCAGGCCATCTTGGGTTTCACAAAACAGTGGCACTGGACCCCGAAAATCGCAAAGTAGACACACTGTACTGAACTCTAAATGTTTATGGAAAATACTTAATTTTTGCTTATTTGTTCGGTTCTGAAAGACCAATCCCACTAAGCAAATTTGGAAGCTACGTTGATGCAAGGTTGTAGCAGTTACTGAAACGGACGTTCAGTAATATTGCACATGTAAATTTGTGAATGTAACGTTCCAGCAATATCACAGCAACATGTGATTATGCTGTAACGCTACATTATCAAATTTCACCTTTATTGCAATATTGCTGAACATCCGTTTTAGTAATAATTGCTCCAACATTGCATCAACATAGCTTTCAACTTTGCTTAGTGGAATATCAACTGAGATATCTATAGAATAAATAAAACATGAAAAATCACCTCTTGTACATATACTTACATTTATCAGAGCTGGTATATCTGATGCGAATCCCGAATCGGTATAGACCTCCTTGAGCTCAGCGGCGGCCAAAGGTTTATTTTCTTCTTTCATATTCAAGTTTGCCGTTATCATTAACGACGGGTTGATGTCGAAAGCGATGCCTAAATATATCAACGCCACCAGATTGGGAACTGAAATGATTCAGAATGAGAGCTAATCATTTCGTAGAATAAGGAGCTAACTTGATTTACATAATGAAGAACTAAAAGTAATTTTTTTTTTTTTTGAATTGACTCGGCCGTTACTTGATAGATATCCATGACAAATGTAAAAACTTCACAAACGATAAGATTTCCACAAAATTCTCAAACACATGGCATCAATTCCGGCGTTCCACAAGGATCAATTTTGGCACCAACATTATTCCTTCTTCATATCAATGAGCTGTTGGGAGTAACGACTTGCCCCATCCACAGCTTTGCAGATGATAGTACCCTCCATACTGCGTTCTCTTCCAGAATTCCCATTCCTTCCCAGGAAACTAAGAACTCACGGCGCAGGCAGGTCAATGCTGTCAATGAAGACCTTGCTTCAACTCAAAGCCTGTATTTTCTCTAGAAATGCGGAACTCAGTATGCCCGATATTGTAATGTCTGGCACCACCATCCCCACCGAGCCCACCATATCTATGCTCGGTATTTAAATCAGCAACACTCTTTCAAGGGATAATCATAGCCTCCTTTCTGCGGGGAAGGCGTTGCCAATGTAAAGTTGGCAATGAAATCTCTGGAGAGAGGGAGCTAGAAACAGGAGTACCGCAAGGTGCGGTCCTTTCACCACTACTTTTCTCCATTTTTACCGCAGATATCCCTAAACCCGCGAACAACTTCAACAAACTCGCACTATATGCCGACGACATAGCCATAATTGCCAGATCCAGTAACGCAGACATGACAGTACGATACCTACAAGAACAGATTGACACACTAGAAACCTGGTTCAATAACTGGAAGATAGAAATAAACGCAGAGAAAAGCCAAGCTGTTCTCTTCACTAGACGACGTACCAAACCTACAGGACACGTAATACTGAACGACATACAGATACCATGGGCAGACGAGGCAAAATATCTAGGGGTAAATACCTGGGTAAAGCCGCAAGGCAAAACCTACAGCCTCTATAATAGGTCGCAGAAGCAACATGGCTCTAGAGTTGAAGCTGCGCCTAATAAGAACCATTCTACTTCCGATAATTTAGTATGCATCGAGTGCATGGGGCCAATGCGCAGAAGCATACCGAAAGCGAATACAGGCATTTTTAAATGTCTCAATAAGAATGGTAGTAAACGCCCCATGGTATATCCCAAATAGATTTATCTATAGGGACCTGAACATAAACCCAGACTACATAGGCAACTACATAAGACAACACGCGGAGACTATATACATTTGGAAGAACGGAAACCCACGAGAACCCGCTACTGCACGACCTGACCAACAGACAATTAAATCAAGACCAGCGCTTCGGAAGAATAAAGTATAGGCGCCCAATTCACCAAATATAAGATAAAAGAACGAAATTAAATCAATATCAATAAAAGTTGCATAATATTCATCAGATAATTAAACAAAAGAGTCTCTCCTTTGATACCCTCTAAAAAAGTAAACCAATAATAATAAGACTTACACTCAATTTTGCTTCCCATTAGGGTAGGGAACCACCACGCAAAGTCAGGCTAGGAAACACACATTAGACAACAAGGTTTAAAATTCGGAAGACTGAAACCAAATAAGTAAGGGGTTTTATAAAACATATGCAGATTGCCAAATTCATAAGGTTGAAGTCCACTCGTTAGTGAGTGGGGGTGGATGGACATGGGGATGAGGAGCTATCATATAACGTAAGCTAGTTATATGGCGGCACTTGATCCTGGGCATTCAACCTTTCGGGGGGCGTGGTGTGTGTCATGGGATAATCATGATGTCAGATCCATCGCAAAAGCTGCTTCGCAAAAGACTCGTAATATATGGTTGGCGTATGTTGAATTTATATTTATTTATATTAGAAGAAAACCATAGTTTTCATGATATTTTCGAAATTCTACATGTAGAAAATAAAGGACCGAAACTCAATCATTTTGAATCATTAGAAATTAACAAACTAAAAAATTTTTACATTTTACTTAATGATCAATTAGACCTCAATAGTTCACCACTGAATTTGTTTTCTTAGTAAGTAATAATATGTATTTGCTATCAACTCTTCAAAGTTAATTCGGTATACCGTATTTTAATGTAGGTAGATATTGTGCCTAATTTCCGAAAATGGAGGTTATCGTACCTGTCCACAGGTAACTAATCCTTCAGGTTGGGAAAGTAGGATATATAAAAGTCAAGCAAGCCAACGTTAGTTCAGTTCATTGTACCAGTATATCACCTGACGAAGCTACAAACTGTATTAGCGAAACATGTCGTGTCGTGTTTGAGAATTTTGTGGAAATCTTATCGTTTGTGAAGTTTTTACATTTAAAAGTAATATTATTCCGAAAAATTGTAGGGGTGATGACGGAAACATGGAGAATTCAATTATTGAAGTATTTTCAGTAGTAATATACAGGGTGGTCCGGTTTGTTATACCAAAAATTCAACTCGTACTCGTTGAAATAATAAAGAAAGTTTATATAAACATATAGTTTTAGACGCGTCGTTTCCAAGATATAGGGTGTTGAGAATAGGAGTCTGAATATTTGAAAAGTTTGAAACGGTTAGAGATAAATCAAGAAAATTGATCAGATAATAAACTTTTCACGCTCTTTAAGATGAAACAGTGAGCATATCACTCTTGTTTCAATCACACTCAAATATTGTTATATTGAATAACTGAACATGTTACGATATTTCTGAACCGATTTAACTCGAAAACGGCAAAATGCATAAAAAACCCACAAGTGAGCTTTTTCACGCAGAGTATTTTGATATTTTGAAACACAAATTGATAATTAAATGCACCTATAAAAATTTGCGTGCTTTTTGTCTTCACCACCCCCAGATTCAGCCACCACTGATTACTTTATGAAATAATTTTTATTTCATTTCACATATATCTCATTTCCCTTTCCTCCCTAGAACTCACGATCATTCAAATCATCCATTCGTTTTTTCAATTGCAAAAGTTTTTATAATTTTGTTCACAAAAACTGAGAATTTTGCGAAGATATGCCAGAATATTCGTTTTCTCAAGTTTCTTGCATTCTTCTGAAGATATACAGGATGTTCGGTATATGGTTTCATCTTTGAATGGGTCATTTTTTGACCAGGAAGCCATTCCGAACATTTTATCCAGTGGTGCCCTACTGGGGGGTGTGGCAACTTTTCCTCCCATATTTTCTACGCCACTGATTAAATTTCAATTATTTCCAATACCTCGAATTCATTGTTCAATTTTGTTAAAAAATGCATTACCCTCAACTGAGCTGAAATGAACAGTTTTCGAGATATTCGACCCAAAATAGAAGATTGCATAGTAATATTTCATCATTTTCAGTAGTAGAAATTTGCAAAAATATTTGTCTGGTGTTGAGTAGATTAGATACTATTCAGATCTCATTCTATAGCTGAAGAGAAATAGTTATTCCACGCATGAAGAGAAGCCAAAAATCTTCTACTACTGAAGAAGATGAAAAATTATTATGCTAACTTCTATTTTGGGTCAAATATCTCTATAACTGTCCATTTTAGCTCAGTTGAAGATGGTGCATTTTTTCAACATAATTGAACAATCAATTCGAGAAATTGGAAATAATCGAAATTTCATCAGTGGCGTAGAAAATATGGGAGGAAAAGTTATCACAACCATCTGTAGCGCAACTCTGGATAAAATTCTTGGAATGTCTTTCTGGTCAAAAAATTAACCATTGAAAGATGAAACCATATACCAAATTTGAATGCATTATATTCAATTTTTCTTGAGATATCGCGAAAAAGCTATTTTAATTTCGTAACTTCAATTCCCTGTATCTCATGAAGACAGTATGTCCCTATCTCAGTGATTATGGAATTTCTGAAATTTGTTTTGTTCTGAAATTTGTTCTATCCGTCATTCGGTTGCCCCCTTACGAGCAACCCTCAAAAGTCTTCGAAAGTCTTGTGCGAGCAAGGAATGACGGGGGCCTTACCTTTTAACGTGTGATCCCAAACACTTAAATCATGAGGGCTATCACCTGTCAAGCGTTGTCGGTCGAATTTCGCAACACCCTTATGTTGATTCTATTTGAAATTGATATTACTTTTTTTGGTAATACTTTTGAATTCCACTAACTATAATTTTGGTATCTGAATCATTTCATTGTTCAATTGATTTTCCGACTCTATTCTTTCTATTTGTTTTCTGAATTCTTCACTCTCTCTTTTATTAGTAGGTACCTAGAACTTTCAAATAATTCTGCTCTAAATCTTTTATGTCATTCGAATTCATTTTGAAATGAATTTTATCCTCGGCTAGTTTCTCGTGCCTCTTTTTTCAAATCGGTTTATTCTCGTGGCTCCTCCTCTCAATTCGCGAGATTCACGAAGTGGGTGACATCTTGGTTACATAATACGAACTTCAAACTGGGGGAAAACAAACTGTTGTCTATGGATAAAGTGCATAGACTACATTGCATTCAGCTCGCTGTAGCTGTAGCCAACAACTTGCCAATGACATAAAGTGTTGGCACTGTTGGTAAAGCGATGATGGTTGAGTTGGTTAATTTTTTTACATTAATACATTTTCATTAGTTTAGTGAACAGTGAACGGGTGAAGAATTGGAGATAGTTCAAACAATTCAAACTAATTATGACGAGCAAATCAATTGACATATAAAAGAACAGCTACAACATGTTTACAATACCCAGATTGTCCTGCTTTGCATGAACAAATACAAATCCATTGTTCTACAGGAGTTCCTCTGGACCCCAACTCCAATTTTACTTTATGTGGGGAAGATTTCATCGCCGAAGTTTGTAGACAAAGTGCAAAAATATGCCTTTTGTATAAGTCTTCTGCCTCACACAAAATCACATGATTAGCACGGAGAACTGCTTTCCCTCTTACTACTGGTCGGCTTTTTCCATCTAAATAGAGCAAAATATCTGCCAAAAGAACATCTACAACAGGCATTAGAAGCGTTTTCGATCGAATATTGACAATTAATGTCAAGAAATTTAAAAACTTATCACTCTTATCAGTACACAGTACATAAGCTAATGGCACCAATGGGATTGAGTGAGGATTGAGTTTGTTTTCCTCCAGTTTTGACATGGCTTTGACATGGAACGATGAAAACCGAGCGCCACCTGGTAACATTGATTCTCGCGAATTGGCCAAAATTTTTGCACTGCAAAGGAAGTTCAGAGAAACACAAAATACGCCGAAATGTGACATATGGATTTAGGTTAACTCGCCTCAATTTCATTTGGTAGCTTGTGAAACACATATACGTATTAATAAACAATACGGATCATAACGGGTGCCAGGATGAAGCCAAAAATATGAAACAAATGAATATCCATAAGGATTTGGTGGCATGATACGCATGCGCCATGCGCTATTATAGTAGTCATCAAAGACATGCGTTTCGGTGGACAATGACGTTTACTAGCCTTTCAATCAAAGCAGTATGTGTCTGATCGTTTCAAAACTTTTCCTTATGGATAGTCATTTGTCTTCAAAAATCAGCTTCATGTTTCGCTATGGAAACAGATAGAGATTATCCGTATTGATTATTAATACGTATATGGTGAAACATCAAATCTATGTATATTCTATTGGCCAAAATTTTTGCACTGCAAAGGAAGTTCAGAGAAACACAAAATACGCCGAAATGTGACATATGGATTTATGTTAACTCTCCTCAATTTCATTTGGTAGCTTATGAAACGAAAGGCAAAATCAATAGTTGTTAGTTGATTACCTACCTACTGTAATTCGATGTGATTTTACTTACTGAACAGTAATACTTCCTGTGAGTTGATTCCAATCAGTAATGGTACTTTGTTTATGTTTCCATTTTTGAGGTTTTCATGATTCATTCCGGTTACCAAAGCGTTTTCGTAGTTTGAATCTTCTGTAACAGGAACCCAAGCAATTGAAGTAGGTAGTTGGCAATTCGCCATTTCAGCAGGCATCTAAAATAGAGCTAACTAAGTAGTCTGACCTTTTTATACCATTCACAATTCCATTAAACACTTTTGGAACTGGATTTATCAGATCAAGGATATGGGAATTTCAACTTTCCATGCTTCCGTGTTTTTAGATTAAAAATTATGATTTTTCATTAGTATACAAGAACGGCAACTTAATTTGAAACACCTTGTATGTTGGAGTATATATTTACAGTCAATTGTTTAAAACTCACAAAGTGGAAGCTTTTGATGAATTTAAAAAAATAATATACACAATTTTGTGGCTCACACTTGCATTTCTTCATAATATGCGGATTTGATTATTATTAAAACGGATTGAAAAAAATCATAAAAGATGAGATATTGTGCTAACACAGTCATGGCGAGCATATAAAATATAATTTACATGTTTTCAAGGCCCACTAAATTCAACACAATGTGATATGATCATTTTGGTCAACTTTTATTTTCAATAGCTCAATCAATTTCAGTCCAAATAATAATATGCAAATATTAAAAAAAAAGCTGTATTGACTTCTCAAAAAATATACATAGTGTTTCATTCGAAAAACAAAAGTTGATGTCGATTTCTGAGAAATGAAAGATCCTGCATACCAAAAAGTACCTTGAAATCAAATTGAAGTTATCTCATCCAACTTTGATATGCACAATTTTTCCGGTACCTTCAAGAAAAACAGTTGAAGGAGATTCAATTTTGATTGACGTACCCTGTACATAGTTGACCAAATTGAAAATTGTTTGAAGGGAAAATCGGAAAATCATATTCTCGATATAAGAGTATGTTAGGTTAGGCCGTTGATTGATATATTACGCTTACGCTGGGAAGATGCCCAACCTTATGGGGCAAAACGAGGTCCAAAAAAATCTCACAACTAGATGGCGTACCATAGTTCGAAATCTCACATAGTGGCTTCGATAGTGTCGAACGATGTCGGAGCAATACTTCGTAATCTGACGGGCAGGTGCGCCACTTACGAAGAGAATCTATTGGAATGCAGATGGCGTGCGACTTGGAACAATTAAACAATCCATAATCCAGATTCTAACTAATATGGCGGTAAATTCGAATTTGTTAGTAATAGTTGTACTGGATGTGCTTTTAACGAGCGCATCACGGACGTGAGATCATGAAAAAAGTTTATAGAAATCGAATTGGAGTGAATCACAAAATTTAATGTCTCAACAATAAATGCTTCAATTTTTGGCGATTGTGGAATAAACTGGTCAGCGGATATCAATATATAAGCTGCTCATGAATTTGATTGAAATTCACGAACCCGGACCAGTGTTGTCACCTTAGTGTATTTTACCCTAGAACTGAATCTAAATGGGTCTGTTTGAGTGGAATTTCATATTTCATTATGTCGAATAACTAAATCAAACTATAATTCACTGTCGCAAATCATTTTCTTGTCAGAGCTATGTACAATTTTTGAAATTTTTATTATTGAAATTACTGATATTTATCACATGAAAAACGCGGAACATATTGCGTGACAATTCTATACCGCTATCAATCCAAAGTATTTTATACTGGTATATGATCCGACCTATGTATTGCCGAAACTTGGTGTGCCAATAATTTCCTTTGACTTTTGTGGGGCGGCCGACTCGGTGCGTTTGTCGGCGATAGGGCTGCCAAGCCGTCGTTTGTCGCCCTAACAACACAAGTACATCCTAAGGACTTCCCAGGGACGTTCCTAATTTTATACAAGGACATCCCAGAGATATCCTTTGTCGGGACAGAGTACATACTAGGACGTCCCAGAGAAATCAGCTGGCTGACAAAAAAAACATCCAAGGGATTTCCGTCTGGTACGTCCCTGGGATGTACCAACTACGAAGAAAGGATATCCCTAGGAGGTCCCAAGGATATTCCAGGGACATCCCTTCGACAAAAGAAAAAAAAAAAGTAGGTCGAGTAGGGTTTGAACCCGGGACCTTTAGCTTCAGGCACGCACCTTACCCCATTGGCTGATATGCCTTCTGAAGATTTATGTACCAAACATCGATTTTTAAACAGGACTAAACTGCAGAAACCTGAATAAATACAACTTTGTTAGGATTTGGGTATAATCATTATCATTCGTGGATGTTTAAAAATGAGGGGCATTATGCATTTACGATTTCTGTTTGCGAAAAATGGTAATTTCTTGAGAAGTTCTGAGACAATTTTCTTTATTTTCATTACAATTATTTACCGGAAAAAAATCAAACATTTTCATAAAAATTCAACTCAATGTTTTGATGAAAGTCAATGACTCTGATGTGAATAGATATAAGATATTCCAGGGACACGAATAGGATAACCTATGGATGTACCGGGCCGGATGTCCACTGGACAACCACTGCGGGACATCCCCTGGATACCCCAATTATGTCCTTGTACCGTGTGACAAAAACGGCACGTACATTCGTTAATCTATGGTACGTACCTAGAACATCCCTGTGTTGTTAGGGCGGAGATTCTGAGCGTTCCGTAGTCTGTACTCCGTTGTCCTGGAGCGGCAAAATCGATTCTACTCAGAAAAAGTTACTGGTATCACAAAATATCAACGCCGATTTCATGATTTTATATCGTGGCATATAGACTGGAAATGTAGCTGCATATAGACTGGAAATGTAGCTGTTTTCTGATGATTTTGTTTTTATCTCTTCAAATATACCAAAAAAGAATTCATATTTTTCAACAACTAGATACTGTAAAAAATGGTTCATAAGCTTGCAGCTTCAACTCTTGTAATCCAATAAATAAATTAATTCTATATATGTTCCAATAGTTATGACTCACTCTGTATATTATGCCTATTATCATGGACGTATTGTTTATACGTCCATAGCTATTATAGATGATGTATTTTATTTCATTTTTATAGTGAACCATTAACATTCAAAGATTCAAAGATATCTGACTATTTATTTTCTATCTACTGATGAGACTCTTAAAAGAAATTATCACATTCAGATTGATTATATTATCAATATTTTGTAATGTGTTATTAATACAAATTTTTAATATGGATACAAATTGAGTGAAAAAAATAATCAACGAAAAAGGCGTGAGATGTTTTTCCAGATATACATATATATTGGTCTAGGCAAAGTATGACAAGTTATTCACAAGGGAATTTTAAAAAACGCCACGGAGTAGGTACCCAACTGAGTGAGAGATCATAATATGTTCTTCTCTCTTCCGCAAGGAACCGAGGGAAAAATCAATACTCGCAACCCGTTGTTATTGTTGAGGAATGCGGATTCCCCATATACGTCCATGGGATTCACCGACCGTAGCAAACATTTTTTCATCGGAACCGGTCGGGTCGGGCGGGTCGGTTCTCATCGTAGAAGACAAGGATAAACAAAAATTTCTGGAGTGATAGCACGCGGTGGGATGGGATCTGTAATTCTGTACAAAAGTGTAGGTAGTTATCTGTACAATTAGTTCAGACATGTTCTGTGTGCCTAGTGGAGTCGCTACCTCACAGTGGCTAAACGATAGACGAGGGGATGAGAGGGGCATCGACTCGCAAATAACACAGGTTGGGCATCTTCCCAGCGTAAGCGTAATATATCAATCAACGGTTGCCTTAAGCCGTTGATTGATATATTACGCTTACGCTGGGAAGATGCCCAACCTGTGTTATTTGCGAGGCGATGCCCCGCTCATCCCCTCGTCTATCGTTTAGCCACTGTGAGGTAGCGACTCCACTAGGCACACAGAACATGTCTGAACTAATTGTACAGATTACTACACTTTTGTACAGAATTACAGATCCCATCCCACCGCGTGCTATCGCTCCAGAAATTTTTGTTTATCCTTGTCTTCTACGATGAGAACCGACCCGCCCGCCCGGTTCCGATAAAAAATGTTTGCTACGGTCGGTGAATCCCATGGACGTATATGGGGAATCCGCATTCCGCAACAATAACAACGGGTTGCGAGTATTGATTTTTCCCTCGGTTCCTTGCGGAATAGAGAAGAACATATTATGATCTCTCACTCAGTTGGGTTCCTACTCTCTGGCGTTTTTTAAAATTCCCTTGTGAATATAACTCGTCATACTTTACCTAGACCAATATATATGTATAGCTGGAAAAACATCTCACGCCTTTTTCGTTGATTATTTTTTTCACTCAATTTGTATCCATATTAAAAATTTGTATTAATAACACATTACAAAATATTGATAATATAATCAATCTGAATGTGATAATTTCTTAGAGTCTCATCAGTAGATAGAAAATAAATAGTCAGATATCTTTGAATCTTTCATTGTTAATGGTTCACTATAAAAATGAAATAAAATACATCATCTATAATAGAGGCATAATATACTGAGTGAGTCATAACTATTGGAACATATTATATATATAGAATTCATTTATTTATTGGATTACAAGAGTTGAAGCTGCAAGCTTATGAACCATTTTTTACAGTATCTATAGTTGTTGAAAAATATGAATCCTTTTTTGGTATATTTGAAGAGATAAAAATAAAATCAACAGAAAACAGCTAACATTTCCAGTCTATATATGCAGCTACATTTCCAGTATATATGCCACGATATATAATCATGAAATCGGCGTTGATATTTTGTGATACCAGTAACTTTTTCTGAGTAGAATCGATTTTGCCGCTCCAGGACAACGGAGTACAGACTACGGAACGCTCAGAATCTCCGCCCTAACAACACAGGGATGTTCTAGGTACGTACCATAGATTAACGAATGTACGTACCCTTTTTGTCACACGGTACAAGGACATAATTGGGGTATCCAGGGGATGTCCCGCAGTGGTTGTCCAGTGGACATCCGGCCCGGTACATCCATAGGTTATCCTATATTCGTGTCCCTGGAATATCTGATATCTATTCACATCAGAGTCATTGACTTTCATCAAAATATTGAGTTGAATTTTTATGAAAATGTTTGATTTTTTCCGGTAAATAATTGTAATGAAAATGAAGAAAATTGTCTCAGAA